TTACAGGCATGTTTCACCATGCCAGGAGAATTTTTTGTATTTTTAGTAGAGATAGGATTTCTCCATGTTGATCAGGCTGGTCTTGAACTCCTGACCTCAGGTGATCTGCCCACCTTGGCCTCCCAAAATGCTGGGATTACAGGCGTGAGCTACCACACCTGCTGGCACTGAGTTTTTAATCTGCTTTCTGATGACCGATTTACCACAAATAAAAGAAAGCAGTAATCATTTTTTAGCTACTGAAACAATGGAATAGTCTTGTGGTATTTCCATGTACAGTAGCATAATAGGAAGAAAGCATTTACAATAGGTACAAGCCACCCTCCCTCTTGCTGATTTAAGGATTATGTTATCTAGATGGAATGGAATGTCATAAGTATGCGGGAGCTTGTCTTTTGGTACTGATGTCTTTTGAGTTCTTATAATTAATTCTGTAACAATATAGATTAGAATTTACCACCAATGCTGATCACTGGAGTTAGTGGTAAAAAACTGTTTTGATGGAAACCTTTTCTTCATTACTCTAACCCAACTCAGCTACACCAGATCTGAAGAGTTCCACCTCTTTTTATGGGGAAAAATTATTTGACTTGTCCCAATCATGATTATTTGTTAATTTGTAATATCTTTATTCTATAAAGAATTGGAACCACCTGGAAAAATGCAACAAACAAATACATGTGTTTAAAAGGGAGGAGAGTTTGCACAAAGGAGAAAATTAGGTAAGAAAAACATAAAGCTAGTTGACATTAGCACACATAAAATGTATACCCTGTGATCCTGTCTAGTTGCCAATGGAAAACCTATAATTTTGACCCTAATAATCAAAACTTACAGGTAAAGTTTTGATTATTAACTTCCTAATAATCAAAACAAAGTTGTAAACAAGACCATTTACATGACTTGCAGTATTCATGAAACAGAAAAATGTATTTATTCAAAAATGAACATCTTGTTCTGGCACTGCTAACAATGCTGTGATGTTAGGTAACTGAGATCTCTGGAGAGTGACATATGTCAGAATCATCTCCACTTCATTGGCTAGAACCAGCACTTACACCCACCCAAGCTCAGGGGACTAGGAAAGTCAATCCTAGTATGTACCCTTTGAGTGGGAAAACTGGAAAGCAGTACTGATGATGTCCACACTAGGAATCTTCTTAAATCAATATATATTCAACACCCCACCTATTTCACATACATGATGTTAACAAAAGGACTGAGTTGTTTTTAACTGTTTGTCGATCTAAGTCAATGATATAATGTCAAAAGTTGTTTAATAAGAATAATTCCATTAAGAAATGAGTCTTGACTGGGCACAGTGGCTCACACCTGTAATCCCAGTACTTTGGGTGGCCGAGATGGGAGGATCACTTGAGGTCAAGAGTTTGAGACCCACCTGGCCAACATGTTGAAACCCCATCTCTACTAAAATATAAAATTAGCCAGGTGT